TTTAATAAATCAAAGAAAACAAGTAAGCCAAAGAAATTAATTCAAATAATACCAATAAGTCAAGTACGTCAAATAATTCAAAAATAAGTCAATTAAAACATAAATTAAAAAATTAAATACCAGGACTATCCTTTTGAAATTAGGGGTATTACAGTGACTATCAACGCACATTCTCCAACTGTCATCTTTCTTCGGTACTAGTAAGGCCGGAATAACACATGGGTTCATTCTCTCCCGAATCAACCCTTTATGTAGTAACTCTTCCACTTACTCTTGTAAGACTTGACTCTCATTGGGACTCATCCGGTAATGTGGTAGATTTGGCAGGCTCGCCCAGGGCATGAAGTCAATGTGGTGCTGAATGTCCCTCATAAGAGGAAGACTATCAGGCAAGTCTTCCGGCACCAACTCACTAAACTCCTATAGTAATGGCTGCACTATTGTTGGTGCTATAAAAGGAGGTTGTTCAACTACTTTCCCCTTACAGATAACAGCAAAGATTTCAAGGGCAATTGTTACTTAGCCCAGAAATTCCTCACTACTGATCAACATAACTGAATTTCCTTTGGGAAATTCGGCTTCTTTCAGCGAACCTAAAACAATCTTCTGACCATTCTTGTATAGAATATACATATTGTCTCTACCACGGTGAGTGGCATCGATATCAAATTGCCATGGTCTGCCTAATATTATATGGCATACATCCATGTCGACTATATCACAATGCACCTCCTCTGCATACACTTTCCCAATTGAGAATGGAACGGTGTAGGTTTCAATTACTCGCATTTTTGAGCATTTCTTGATCCATCAAATTTTGTATGGATAGAGATTTTTCTATATTTTAAGCCCCAATTTTCGAACCATTGTTAAGGAAACAATGTTCTCACTACTACTGCTATCAATAATAACGTCACATACCTTATGGTTGATATAGTACTCTTGACCTTAAGGATTTCATCCAATGACAATCTAGATGTTTTGATGATAACAAACCATTAATGGTGTTTAAGGAATAATGTTTACATTAAGTGTTATATAGATTATACACATTCAAAGAACGACCTCAATAAAGCTATAAAGATCATTCAAAGTATTCAATTATTCAAGATCACATCAATGAAAGAAATGGATACAAAGAAGAGTTGAAGTTGCAAGGAGCCAAAGGCAAAGTCCATCCAAAGATAGCTTGGACTACAATGAGCAAGTAAGCAACTCAAAGAAATGAAGAAAGCAAGAGTACCTCAAAACTTAAACGATCATTGATAAAGCATGAAGAAAAGGGTAGATAGGTTGGTGAGTGTTTAGGGTTCAATGTCAAGGTATTTATGGATCCATTTGAAACTCATCTCTATAGGATTATGCATATCATCATTATCATTCATATATTCCAATATTCATTAGCAATAGACTATGCACTTCATACATATATATTTGCACATGAAGTTATTGCTAAAGAATGAGTTAGTTCAAGCTTGCTTAAGCTTTGGAAGAACTCATCACTTGTGCTATAAATGCTAAGACCATGTACATCAATCACATCATTGATAGTGGTCAACAATTAAGGCATATGAAACTTTCATTACCATGAGTTGGTAACGGACATTAGGACCCCAAAATACGCGTCATGAAAAACTGTGTTTTTAGCTAAGTATGAAAAATGGCTAAGTGTGAAAAATGAATTTTTGAAATAATGATTACTTCAAAATAATTTTTCCCGATAATAACTCTTTACACTTCAAATAGCCTAAACTGATTTTATGAGATTTTTTGATCATTTCTACATAAGATCAATATTTACCAAAACTGTCGGGAACCCCAATTTGTACTAAAACTGATTTTTCACATTTTGATTTAGTTGGATTTTAATTTTCTTATATTTTTTATTAAATCCAAATGGGGGGTACTTCCTTATTTACATTGTAAACTTAAAGTAAATGGACATATAAATACTGTAAACTGAAAACAAAACTATCAAGATAGAATTTTTGTCTGTCAGCCGACTGGTGATAATGCCCAGTATGTGGCAGCCGGCCGACAACAAAACAGAGAGTTGAGTTCTCAAATGAGACGTTTCGTCCGACCGAACATGAGGGTTCAGCCGACCGACAAGGGTTTCATCTTCTCTCATTCATTTCATTTATAGAGTTTGAGCTTCATTGATATTCATATATATTCTAGTTGAGAGCTAAATTTGTACATCAATTTTTGAGAGATATTTCTTGTACTTCATTGTTCTTGTTACTATCAATTGTAAGGGATTGGTTTGAACCACTGGGTTGGTGTGACCCAAAGGAAGACTAAGGGAAGGTTGTTCTCTTAGTAAGGTGAAGTAATGAGTTGCTTTATGTAAAGGTTTGCTCTCCACCCATAAGGAGAAGTTATAGTGGATTAGAAAGTCTCAAGAGGGGTCTTGAGCCGAAGAGTAGGAGTTTTCGAATCTCGCTAAAATCGCCGAGTCATTATTTGCAATTTCTCTTCCCTTATCTCTTTTACTATTATGTTATAAATTGTTTACTTTCATATTTTGATTTCATTTCTTGATTATTGCATAATTGGTTAAATTGTTGATTAGAAATTGTAAATCGATAAATTGCGAAAATTGACCATTGACTCTATTCACCCCCCTTTTAGAGTCAATTCTTGGGTAACAAGTACAACTTATACGGAACACATTATGACGCTGTGGGTGCTCCTCCTTCTTTGGCGTGAGCATCAACCTCCTCACGACTAAAGAGTGGGAAAGCAACTCGTCATTGTCTCCTTCAGTCACCTCTTCTTCTTCAAAGGTAAGGAACTCACTCCTCACCTTCATCTTCCTCATGCTCGACCAGATTTATTATCGGTCACTTGGGGCAATTGTTGGATTTATGGCCAAGTTCTCCACATCGAAAACACTTGCCCATATTCGGGTGTGCATAGGGATTTTATCTCACAACTAGGGCCCCCTTTCCAGCAAGGCCTATGGGTGCTGCGGGTTTGGCCTTTACTGGACCATCTCTAATGCCTCACCATATCATTGGAACGGGGGCTACCGCTGTCTATTTACCCATGTCATATGTAGGACGTGGGGTATTAGATGAACCACGAGACCGATTCTTCGACTTCTCCAGTAAAGATTCTGCTCTCTCTGCCGCCGTAACAATCTCGGACAGTTTGAATAACGGTTGCAGTGCCACTTTCTCTTCAATATCCCATCGTAACCGACCTTTGAAACAAGCCACCATGCTAAATTTGGGTTCCACCAGGTTATTACGGGGATGACAATCGATAAAATTCTTCAGCATATTCAGCAATCATTTTACTTCCCTACGTGCTGGACTGATATTTCTAATAAAGAACCTGTTCGTAATCAGGTGATAAAAATCGAGCTTTCATCAACTTCTTCATCTTAACCTATGTACGTATCGAATCTTTACCCTCACATGCGCTAGTAGTTTGCACTTGATCCCATCATGCTGATGCACTGCCTTTCAACTTATATAGGCCACAAGTTTGACTTGCTTCTCCTCTTGGATTTTCATTTAGTCAAAGAAACGTTCAACTTCACTAATCTAGTCTAAGAATTCTTCAATACGAAGATGACCTTGAAAGGTGGGTAGATCAATCTTCATACGAAAATCCCTGGAGTCATTAATTTCCTATCGAGCTCGATTATCTCTACACCTGTACGGTTCAATTGCTACCAAAACCGACATTTTCCTTATAAGTTGATAGCCTATTCGGTGGGTTTGGGTTGCGATTACCAACAGGACGTCCATGATCACCATCGTTGGGAAGCTTATTGTTCTCACGGTTAAGTTATACCGTTGTCAATCTCGCCAATATTTGACGCATAGTTTCATGCATATAAAAAAAGGTTCGATTAACGTTGGTCTGGAACTCAGTAAACTCAGCCCTCAAAAGAGCTATTTCATCACGATCACCGTCACTGGAGGGGTTGCTTCCATCTCGTGAACCGGTCATCGAAAACAAAGACGAATCTTGGATTCGGAACATTGCTCTGATACCAACTAACGTAATGGAAACGATAAAGAATAGGGTTAAACCCTTAAATTCACAAAGAACACACTCACAAGAGAGCTACTGAAATTATATTGATAATGAAGATGTCTGTAGACTTACATGTCTATCTTTATATAGGCAAATTTGATGGAGCAAAATCATCCTTAAATCTTGCAATGGAGAATAATATCTTCTATTGTTAGCAACTACACCAAATCTTCTTTTTTATTTTCTGAATCCTCCTTAATTCTTACAATAGAGAATAATATATTCTATTATTGGCAACTACTCCAAATCTTCTTTTGACTTTTCCTTATTTATTTATTTTTTCTTCTATTCTCTTTACCTTTTTCTTTACCTTTTCAGCATGATCATGTATATTCAAATAATTGTGAATAAGCTGTTTTACATCGGGCAGTGTCTCAAAAAAGGGAGTGGAGGTTATAGACAACAAAAAGAAGTGCCTAGAAAAGATCTATAAATGAAAATTCACTCCGATAAAGGCAATCATAACTTAACATACAAGTAAATATATCAATTTTATTTATTTTTTTACTTACTTGTTGGATTGTAATTGGCATGAAATCATGTAATACTTTCTCCACATTCTTAAAAAAAATAATCATCTCATTTACGGCCGGATAGGTACGAAAAGATATTCAAAGTGCCCAATGCACCGGCACATCGCACTGCTCGTACACGCGCAAAAATGGAGTTGGGCTGGCCCAATGCACAGGCACATCAAATTTCTTCCTAGTTGGTGACTTTTTTTATTATTATTATATGTAGAACCACGAAATTGATAATATAAAGCAACTTGCTTTTGTTTACCTGAAATCAAAATTTACAACTTAAATGAGTAATCAAACGAGTCCACATTTGGTGGTACGCAGTGTTCAACTCATATATGCTTGTTCATGTGTATTTTACACCGCACACTTCTTTCTCCGAATGCGTTCAGCCACCAACCACCAACGAAACCAAAGAAATTTAAGTAGAGAAACTAATGGGTTTCACTTGCAACTCTCTCAACAAGTCTCTTTCCATCAAGGAACAAATTGTTAAGTATTACAACCTGATGGCTTTTAGAGAAAGTTCAATTTTCCAACAGGTACAGGTGAAGAAATAAAAGACCTGAAGCGTCCTCAAAACACACACAACCGAACAGGGTCTATGCCCTTTTAAAGAGTAAATACATGTCTCTTTCTCAACAAAAATAGTAGGGGAAAAGAAAATTCACAATAATTTTACCTTTCTCTTACTTACCTTTCCGAAAATAGGATTCTAGAACCTACCCTATTTATAACAGAATCTTGCAAAACCATTCAACATGGAAGACGATCTCAGTTATCCAAACAACCCCACTATCAAACAATCCAAGGCCTCTCACCATCTGGCATGAGTTTCATGTTCGAAAAGTAACAGCGCTATAAACGGTACCCTATTGCTCTCTCACAAGACACTGACACGAATAAATAGGAGGGGGGTATGCTAAATTATGCAGTGCCAGGCACACTCTCGGCCTTGTCGGTTTCCATCGGCTCAGTAGCAGCTGGTGGTGATTCACTAGCCCCAGCCGCAGCATTCTCATTCGGGTTGCTGCTGCTGTTGTCTCCACCCTGAGGTTGGGGCTCACTTCCCTGTGAAGGTACCGCTGATGGCGTTTCAGGAGTCGCTGGTTTGGCTGGCTTGGGTTTCGTCATTATCGGCCTACAAAACCTGTTGAAGCAAATTCTATTTTTCAATATCTAGAGAAATGAATATCTTTCAGAAACTCGGTAACAATCGAGGTCCAATTCCTTTGAAACAACTTCGGGTAATTGGATCATTACCTGTCAACTGCTTCAGCTTTCTTTCTCACATCAGCTGACAAGAGAACTGGATTGGCATATTTTGGAAGTGAGTCCTGGTGCTGGTTTTTCTCTCTTAACCAAGCTTCGGCTTCTACACACTCGTTCAACACCTAGAATAAGGAAAAGACGAACAATCAAAATCTTCCTATGGCCATTTATGCTGGCCCCGAGCAGAGAGTAAGAAAGGGAAATTCATTTAATAAGTAACCTTCTGCTTCTCTGGTAAGTCAATGTGATCAAATTTAGGATCATTTGACATTGCAGCTTCTCTGTAACTATTGACACAATAAATAAATTGATCAATTACTGATCCTCTCTCCGAATGCTCCTTGTAGCGCTCCTCAATGGGGTCACCTTGCTGCATATTATTTACTCCAAATCAAATGCGGAAAAAATAATAATAATAATAACAATAACAAAAGAAAACCACCATTCAGCATAACAAAACAATTGACCTTCTTGAGCTCCTCAAGCTTGGCAATGTAAACGCCTTTGGTCTCATCCTCTCCCTCATCATACAGCCAATCTTCCACCTGCTGAAGCTTAGCAGTGAACTCCTCTCTCTCTGAATCAGTGACGAACTCTTGGTATTTGTCATGAAGCTGGAGAACGTAAAAAGGGCAGTGAGTTCAGAACATCCCAAGTTTCTACAGTGTCTAGTTTATTATGTAATGTTCATGTAACATACCTTGTTCCTCATTTCATAAACATAGGACTCCACAGCATTTTTCTTGTCTTTTGTTTCTTCCATGACACGGTCCTGCAAAGCCATTTCAAACTCCTTTTCCACTGCTTTTTGCACATCAACAGGTGCCATTCCTCCATACACCAACTCTGATACAGGGATGTTAGTTTTCTTCACCTTCTTCTTTGGAACCTCAACCTGCACGACAAAGAATTAATGCATTACATATACAAAATAATAAGTAACAAACAGGGAGGAAAAACAAAAAAAAAAAGAAAAAGCTAATTCCTCCAAAGACAGCTGTTGCTTGCTGTGGAAATGAATGTTAGTCATTGTAATTTTTTAAATTTAGATCAGTAGTAATGTTTAGCATGGCTTGGAAGTGGCCCTATTACAGGCAACCTTTGATCAAATAAATGCAAGTCAATCTTGAACTGGTTGAAGTAATTCCATAGTTTAGACTAATAGTTTTTAACCGGCCACAAGATATAAAAGGCAAGAAACACGGGTAGCATTAATAAACCATCCTTTTCAGGAAAGACCATATAAAATATCATCGATGGAGCTTAGAAGAGTGACACACCAAACTTCAACTCGAACTATATTAACGAAATATGGAGTTGTTTTACCCCATAATGATAGACCTCCTAACAAATTCGGAAGCAACAATTATATCATACACACGCCTTCTCCAATATATGTTGGGGGAGTACAGTTGAAAACCATGAAACAGAGCTGCAATTTCAATGATGAACAACGTATAGTCCCAGGAGAAAGTCCCATTTGGATGGACTCCAACAAGGAACTTTGACTCGTTTTCCTCCTCATTTGCTCATAAGAGCAAATACTAACCACAATCTTTTCAAGTGCAATTAACTTATAGTGACAATTTTTATCCTTCTAACTCTAGATTCATCCCATTCATTAGTAGAAAACACAAAAACCATATAGCAGATACCAACTCTTTCCACAGGAAGGGGATTTGAAGTCATCACATTTAAAGTAAGTCTCCCCATTTTAGCATTTGTGCACCACAAGGTCTGTCATACACTCAGCCTTGCACATATTAAACCAAGCCACCACCACCAGTAACTGCTTACATAGAGTCACAAGATCCAATGTTTTACAAATAAGGTCAAACCTTCTACCCAAACAAATCAGATTTCACACTAGAAGCTAAAGCATTGAATTAAGGAAAATGATAAAAGACCGGACGGTGTTATTACCGACTGAAGTGTCCACCGTTTATTTAAACACTTTGAGAGGAGAGAGACTATCTATATCCATTACCGACTAAGAGTCCCTGTTGGACACTGGTGGTTGGAGTCACACAAAAAACAGATGGTCAATTGTAGCATTACTCTTTCATAAATAGATGCAAATGTGGACGGTCTATTTTGTGGAGTGCTACAATAATTATGAAAAGCAAAGTTAGCAAGAACTACTCTACCAGTACGTCAATTAAAAACAAATTGTCCTAAATGATGCCTTAAAGAAGAAATAGCAAAAACATGAAATAGTTGTGGGTGATTAAATCTGTGTGCTGACTCATTCTAAGCAATATTATTTACCTTGGCATCCGTATCCATTTGGACAGGCTTTTCCCCAGACTCTGGAACACCATTCTCTGCCCCAGAAGCATCAGTAGCACCTTTAGCATCTTGCATGTTTACATCCGCTTCAGCACCTCCAGTGGAAGCTTCACTTGGAGGTCCGTCTGTGTCCATCTTAGTAGCTTCTTTTGCTGGCTCTTTTGTAACAGGAACTTCAACTTCCTCTTCTTCCAAGAGCTAGAAGAAACATCAAACAAATTCAACAAAAAAATCAAAAAAATGCTCAACTCAACCGCATGAAGAGTCAATGGAACTATCTCAAGGACTTACAGTTGCAGACTCCACCGATACAATGCCATGAAGATTAAGGCGAACTTTCACCTTCACTTTTGCCCGTTCACTATTTGTAGATTGAAAAGGACCAATCTGCCAATGAACATTTAAAATAACATCAAGAATTACATCAATCCCATAAAAGTCTTCACTTAGGCAGATCATAGAACTCAAGTCCTGACATAAACTAGTAGTAGATAAATTACCGTGTATGTGCTGATCTTTGCTGGTGCCTGCAATTCACTGACATCAGCATACTGAACATCTATTGTGAAGGTGCCTGATCTATAGAATGTCAGAGCCTTAACACTCGGGAATGGATTCCCCTTGGGGAAAACAATAGTGCTTTGTTGATTATCTACAGCTCCATTCTGGTTATCTGGAGCAGAACCTTTCCATGACAGAGCAATTGAAAAGGGAAAGCTTTCATTGACCTTCAAAACCAAAACAAACCAGTTGCTTATCATATGCTATAGCACATCCAGCTTTAATGCAATCTAGGGTAAAAAAAATCACTTCCACTAGTACCATCTCTTCAAATAAACAATTATGATAAAAAATGTTGATGTTGAGAAGGGAAAAGAAACAGATACTCCTTTTTCAAGATTAGAGATTTATAAAATACTTCCTGAACACACAACAAAATAAAGAGACACAATAGTTCAACCTTACTGTAGTAATTAGGTATCTTAGTTACAATGGAACCACATTTTCAGCACGTTTAATGTTGCGGTAGGACTAAAAGCACTTCTAATTTGAAATTTCTGAAACACAGAGAGAGAGAGAGAGAGAGGAGACTTTTTGAAGGAGCCAAAGCTCAAATTCAAGTAGAGATAAAAATTTATAGATTTCTATTTGTACAAAAAGAATATTAAAGTGCTTCCAGAGTCAGCACTTTTTTCACAGTTGTACGTAACATATATATATATATATATATTTGAAAAAAGATCTTATTTCAGGCTACAACAATGCCATTCGTACATTTTCCAGGCCTAGAGACATAATATGTCACATAATTCAAAGAAATGTACCAGTTTAACAACAGCAATATCTAAAAACATTTCATGTTGGCTTCTCTTGCAGAATATACGTGGAGAGTACGTCTCAATTGAGACTCCCCACTAAAAGCCTGTTCTGTAGGAAGGAGGAAGAGATGAGAGGGAGGAGGGACAGAAGGCCTTAATGATTTCTAATAGAGGAGTTTGGTAGAGAATAAGAGGGAAGGGAAAAGTAGGAGGGAAGCCCCTCCTCTTTAGGTCTGCTACATCCTCTCCTAAAAGAGTTTAGGAGATAATTGTAAAATTGTGACATAACGGTTCTCTTCCTAATTTCCATCCTACTCAACCAAACAATATGAACTCCAAAGATACCTCCTCCATCCCTCTTCTCTTATCTTCCATGACTTTCAATCTTCTATCCTGAGCATCAAGGATTTTGCAGGACTCAAGAGGGTTATTGAAACACACCAGAATGTTGAGAGACTGAATAAACCTAAACCAAGCATCCCATCAATTTATTGATACAAACTACAATATGGGGCAGTTGGGGCCAAAAAATATATGTTCTAACTTTTGTAGGGTGAAAATTGGAAAGAGAAATAACGTGCATGGAGACAATAACCATATGAATATAAATCGTAAGTTGCCTAACCAAGGAATGTAAATCACAATCACTGTGCTCACCGCAAGTAGTAATTTCTATTGACGGAACACCACATAATTCTTCGAAATGATTAAACTTTTAGTGTGATAAAATATCAGACACAACTATAATAATACAGATGTCAGAAATCACGTGTGCGCGCACACAAAAACAAAAAACCGATAGAGCAAAAGGAATGCAGAAAAGGAAATTTTCTGAAAGGAAAGAAGGCAAAGTGCAATCTGATCAGTGAATGACATTTTTACCTGGAACTCCCGCACTTTAAATGTGGGGCTGAGAATTGCACACTCTAGAGCACAGCCTTTGGCAATGCACTCACTTGCATTCATTGTGCGCCTAGGCTCCTTGCCAAAGAACTCTGTTAGTATCTTGATTATAGCAGGAACACGAGAGCCTGAACCAACAACCTCAACTGCATGGATGTTCTCAACGGAAAGGCCAGCATCTAAAAGAGCCTTCTCCAATGGCTTCTTTACCCGTTCCAAAATTGGAATGCTAATTTGTTCAAACTCCTCTCTCTTGATGAAACCCCTAACATCCTTCTCTTCCATCAAGCACTCTATATTCAAAGGCGCCTCAGGGTTTGCACTAAGAACCTTTTTCAGCTTTTCACAAGCAGCACGAAGCCGTAGACAAGCCCTAGCATTCTGAAAAACATCAATCTTGTACTCTCCCTTAAATTTAGCCGCGAAGTGCTGGAATAGAGCTTCATCAAAATCTCTACCACCAAGAGATCGGTCAAAAGAATGTGCCAATATCTTCAGCTGGCCTTTCTTGAAGCCAGCAATGCATACCTGCATGCTAGCATGCCCAATGTCAACAAATGCAACATTCAATTGATCATTCTCTGGCAAATCTGTCTTATAAATTCCAAATGCCAAAGCAGTTGCAGTAGTTTCATGAAGTAAACGAAGAGGATGCAGACCCGCAATTGTAGCTGCATCCAAGACAGCTCTTCTTTGAAGATCAGTGAAATAAACAGGAATCCCGATACAGCAATCCACTACCGCAGCATTCAAATTCGTCTCCGCAATGCTTTTCAAATTTGAGAACACCATTCCCAATAGTTGGGTTGGCGTAAATGTCCTTACCTCCCCCAAATACCGTGCATGGATCAGTGGATATCCATCAGGCCCTTCAGTCACAGTAAAAGGCAATGCTTTAAGATCCTGCTGCAGCTCAGGATCTGAGAACTGGCGTCCTAAGAGCCGCTTGATCTGAGAAATCGTGTTCTTCGGATTCATCATGCTTGATGCAGCCCCAGCAGTTCCAAGGAAGCGCTGCTTGTCGCCAAAGCAAACAATAGCAGGAGTCTCCCGCTTTGATTCCTCATTGAGTACAACATCAATCCCTCTTTGCCTTGCAACGGCAACCACGCCACTCTCATTCCCAGAATCAAAACCAACCACGCTCATCTTTGCGGGAAAATTTGATTGGGTGCACACGATCACTCAATTCCCAAGCTGAAAGATTACATTAAAGCCAGTACAATGCAAAATAGTTCAGTGAGAAGAGTCACCATGCAATTGTTCAAAAATATAACTTTTATCAAAAAGAAAGAAATACTCAAACACTAGTAATAAACAACTATCTCCAAATAAATCATCAAAGTACAAAATCTCATTATGAAATTACAACAACTAAACACGTAATTTTTACCACTAATAATCATGCTTCAATTTCCCTAAAAAAAGTAAAATAAAATCATGTTTCATCTATAAAATCATTCTACTCCAAACAAAAATAAATCAAAACCCTCACCTTCACCAATCCAAATCACATGCATTATATAATTGACATCTTAAAAGAAGTGTATTAATCACGTTAATACACAAGTTAAATATGCATTTAATATAAAAAATAAAATGAAAAAAATACAATAATAATAAAATTCATAGAAAACAAAATCATTGCATTGTAATCATTAGCGGATCTTTTCCAGAAATATCTCTATAGCATCTGAACATCGTACCAATTATATAACAAATCTTAAACACAAATAAACACAAGCAGCATGATTTCAACGTGATTACTGCTCAAAGTAACCTACACCACAAGTATCCCAATAACTAAATCCAAATAGAGAAGACCTAGATTCTAACCCAACTCAAACATTGCTGTATCAATACATACATATAGAGAGAGAACTAGATTGTGTCAGCCAGTTGAACAGAGAATAAAGCAGTCATCGGACGCATGAGTGAATCACAGATCTACGGAGTTCTAGGGAGAGAAAATAAAAGGGAGAGTTAGGGTTTCAGATCGTACCTCGCGACGGAGTGTGGATCGGGAACGTTGTGGCGTATGCGAGGACTCTCTGGAATTCTCCACAGAATGTGTTTGTCGTGGGAAAAGAAAAGTGTTATGTTTTGCAAATCTAACAGAGCTTCTGAGAGGAGAGAGAGACCTTTAAATAGGAGAGAGAGAAAAGGGTTTTGGAAATTTCTATTGAGAGAGAATATACAAATCGGTTGGGTTTGATTTTGCGATGGGGCGGTCAAGTGGTCCTAGAGATGTCTAGAGATACTAGAACTTCTAGAAAGATCTTGAGAGATGATGGGAGAATTGTATGGGTGTAGTAGGGCTTGGTGTGGCTATGGGCCTAGTTTGGGGTGCAGTTAATTAGGGCTTCTTCAAGGAGGGGCTAATGCAGCCATTCTAGCCCATCTAGTTAAAACGGATGGCCCAACATTGCTTGCATTATGTATTATTTTGATTTTTTTCTAGCCTGAGCTATTACAAAATTGCAGAATGCCCCTTAATCTATTTTTTATTACAAGTTAGCCCCTAAACCATCAAAAGGTTGTATCTTGACCCCTTCAAGTTAGGGCTGCACATGGTGCGATTCGGTACAGTTTCGTCAAGAATCGGAACCGATCTCAACAGTTCCATAAAAATGGAACCGGAACCGTTGTCTATGGAACTGAACCGAACCGGCATTCACGGTTCGGTTCCACGAACAGTTGACTGAATTCAAGATTATTTTTCTGTAGTTTCCTTAAACAAAATATAATAAAAAAAATAAAAACATAAATAAATACAGCAAACTGATTGTCAATACAATAATATTACATCCCATGGTACTGAATTTGTGATACTGAAATTGTGAATTGCTGAAGTCTAATAGTCCATTAAACTTACAAAAAACTGAATCAACATCATTCACTAATAAGATTATTCCAAAAAACTAAACCCATTATGTTGCATGTTGCTGCTAGCCTGTCATTCTGCCAAGTGACTACATTCTGCTGCATGCTATATGCTGCTACCAAGTGCTAACCAGTGACTACGAGCTCGTTTGACATAACTTTTGTTTTTGCTTTTATGCAAAAGAAAAAGATAAGTAAAAGTTATCACTTCTATTTAGCTTATCTGTTAGTGTTTTGGGAATTGTATTTTAAAAGAGCTTTTAAGGTCAGAAGAGTTTTTAATGTATATATTTGGCAAATCATTTGTTGAAGCTCTTCTAATGCTAAAATAACTATTTTGCCCCTAAATTGAGTGTTTTTTGGACTGTTTGGTAACATAAAATAATTAACATGTTTTTTTTTTTTTTTTTTTTCCTTATATCTAACTTTTTCTAAACACATACAAACAACCCTTTCAGTATAATCAAATAATTCAACATGACAGATACAAACAACTCATTCAATATAATCAAATAATTCAACATGCCATATATAAAATATTACATTGTATTGAGCATCACCTAACAAAATAACAACCCATTCAATATAATCAAATAATACAAGATGTCATATATAAAAATAGTACATTGTATTAAGTATCAACCAACAAAATATTTATCCAATTATGAGCTCCGTAGCAATTCTATCTTGGATAACCTACACTCATCTCATCATTAATATAATAATACCAAATATTCATTTAAGTATTAGCTCCGTAGCAATTCTATCCCGGATAACACTCATCTCAATAGTATCATCACTTGTGAACGAAATATCGGATTCGCCAATTTCCTCGTTGAGTACATAATCATCTTTTCCATTATATGTTTGAAATTCTATGTTAGCAATAGCCACCCTCCTTATAAAATTATGGAGAGCCATTGAAGCACTAACAATGGCAACTTGTCTATCAAACTAAAAATTAGGCATATGATTCTCCATTTTGCCTTCCACGCACCAAAGTTCGTTCTGTAACACTTCGTAATGAGGAATGTGCTTGATTAAATATTTCTCGAGATCTTCTAAGCTGACTACCACGCTAAAATTCAGGAAGATGGTATCTTTCTCCTCTATATAGAGCTAAAAAACTTTTCATGTTTGGATAGCCAGTATCAACACAGTAGTACTTATCTACAAAATAAATATTCACCAATAATGAGAAATTGTTATTCATACAAATTCGTATAATAATGCTAATAAAATATTAATAAAAACAAGATATTGTAAAAAACCATTTGGTAGTTTAGGAAAATTTATAGCTGGGTCTCGATAAGCTTTGAAAAATATTTTCTTATCATGTGTAGTTCCCTCCCATCCCGACCACACAAAGGTAAATAGCATGTCAAACATGCATACAACCATTATATTTTGAGTAGGCTATCCCTTCCTACCAATATAAGGGATTTGCTCATTTACTGGAAGTGATGCAATAATATGTGTCCCGTCTATGGCTCCAACGCAATCATGTCAATATAATACATATGGATATGTACACATGTATAATCAATAACCATTAACAAATATGAAATTTCCTAATAAGTATATATATATATGAATAATTACCTTAAAATATGGCCAGTATTTCGGGTTGGATCGTATATAATACAGAATTTCATCATAATTTTCAAATAGTTTAATCTCATCTAATGCCAAGACAGTCATTTTCTCTAGCACAAGACCAAATTGCCTACTCACTGTTTCACCAAAATTTTGGAACCATTATTGAATCATTCGATTTCCAACTCCATGTCCTAAAGTCATAAAGAACATGCCCACTGCTTCCTCTAATTGTATACCCGTTGTGGATTTTAATCCATAACTTTTTAATCTATCACATAATTTTAAAAAGACATGCTTTTCTATGCGAAACATTTCATGACAACGATTGTCATGTCCATCAAGAATCTCCATTATAAACTTCCATCCTGTATGAGGGAGTCCCTACATGGGTTTTTCATTAAAAAAAAAAAAAAACTATTTTGATGATGCACTGCTACACATGATGCTGTAAGGATGATTTGATTGAGTTCCATATCATCTCTTTTAACATGTTCTAAAATCCCCTCATATATGTCGTTCTTAATATCACTATCATTCTCCACCACAAAACTAGAGGAAAAATAAATTAAATAATCAAAATATATAGGAAGAATATCATAGAGCAATATCATATAATCCATGTCCAAACAAAGTAGTACATAGCAAGAATATCATACATCAATATCACGTGATCCATGTCCAAAAAAACCTAGTACATAATACATCAATATAACATAATCCAACTCCAAAAAAACCTAGTACATAGTGCGATTATCATATATCAACATCATACAATCCATGTATTAGCATCACATAATTCATGTCTCAAAATTTTAATACATAGCAAAAATATTATATATCAATCCATATTCCAAATACCTAAAACATAACAACGCAATATCATAATGCCCAAAAACCATGTCCCACAGGTAACATTCAACCATGCAAGTTGGCTCTCCAAGTCCTCCAAAGCTACAGACAGCTCATGATATTCTCGATTTATAAAGAAATTGATCCCAACCTATATATATAATTAAAATCCAACAATTCTAAAAATAAAATAATAATAAAACATGCTATTAATACTCCGATTTAATCCTAATTTAATCAAATAAAATTAACTTAATATTTTTTATTAATCCGTTCTAACCAAGATTTAAATTAATAATTTAATTATAGTGTTGATACTCAAGGTGAAATCCTTATGGGTTCTAAAAGGAAAGTTAGAGAAGAACTCACCTGAAGGTTTCGAAACGAAACCAACGCTTCAAGTTTTGATTGTCTCTTCCAATTCCAACGTTTTTTCTCAGATACGGCCTCCTCCTTATCAACCTTCTTTTTTTCTCTCTCTGTCTCTATTATTTTTCTAACGTGAAAATCTCTTAACCCTAATCCTTATGTGTATATATAACCACATTAATATCATAATCCTTTTCCAATTATGACTACCATATAAAACCTTCCATAATTAATCATTAATTTATTAAATCATATATACATGTATATATATATATATATATATATATATATATATATATATATATATTGACATATATACCCCTCCATAATGATTATTAATTAATTATATTTATATATATATAATTAAATATATAATTATTTAAATATGTTCATAATCATCGGCCTTTAATAATTAACCCAACAAGGTTTCTTTTAAGCCCAAGATCACATCCATTGGTCCCACTCATCTTTAAGCTCAATCCAATTAAAATAAAATAATTAAATTAAATCTAATAATTACAAATAATTAACAAACAATTCATACAAGCATAAATACACACAAATCAAATAAACAATTCAATCAAAACATTTCACAAAGCAAAACACCATATCAATTCAACAAATATAACCACAAAATATAATCTAATTAAAATAAGACAATTAATCTAAGCACTCAATTAAATAAAAATAAATCATTTAAAAATACAATTAAAGCAATTAAATTCAATTAAATCAAACAAATCATTTAAAAATAAAATAAAACTAATTAATCCCAATTAATAAATCATTTAAAATATTGGGGTATTACATTTTTCTCCCTTAACAAAAGGAATTCCATTCTCGGAATTTACAAATCCATGAAATGAAAAGTTTGATTATTTAATTTCAAGTTTTCATGTTCCTTTTGTCCGTGTGGAAATTAATCCATTCACACGTACTCATAATTACTAACTAATTTATGCTCATTGCATTTCTTTGCAACTTAATCTCACCAATTTATATGTGTTGGTAAATGTTTCATTGCTGTAATTTTTTTTTTTGCACTAAAGCACATAAAAACTCCTTTACACACATGGTGTAAAATACATATTTATATCCTTGCCAATAATAGGCTATTGCTTAATAAATAAAATATAAATCATTACATAGTAATGTGATAACCTCCTTTCCTTTCTAATCAACATTACTTCCCCTATGGGAGACAATTTGAGTAAAGACCCAATTGTCTATATTATTTAGGACTCTTTTTTACTGCATGTACTTGCTATAACGAATAAACCACCTTGTCATCTAATTAGTGACGACCCCAATGGAAATAAACTTCCCTCACAACATGGGTATTCCTACAATATTATTTGCAAAAATATCTCCCATCGGCCACTTTAATATGGAAAATAACTGCACAATACTAATGATCTCTATTAATCACACCTAATAACGAATATACCAGAACCTTTGGAAGTAATGATGGGTATTGCCACTATCATTCAATCCTGACATTCTATATTCTGATACGCCTTAGC